TAGGGCAAAATTTTCACTAAGTGTTTAGTTTCAAGACCATGATTTCATGGATTAATAACTTAAAATCCAAGAATTTATAGGAGGAGTTGTGTAAAGAAATTTTTTAGATCTCATTGAGATCTACAACTTTCATGTTTAAAGTTTCCTTTGAATCATCTTGCATCATGGTGAAAAATTGGCTCAAAGTTGTGAAAAAATATGAAGTTTTCAACACTTGGAAAAATTTCTAAGTTTGGAAACTTTGACTTTTCAAAATGAAATCTTGACTTTTTGATTTCTTGATGAACAAGTTTCATATTTTGACATATTTTAATGAATTATGATCTTTGACACTTGATTTTGACCAAAAAGTCAAAGTTTGACTTTTTCAATGTACACTTGACTTTTGATCAGTTGATTGAAAATCAACTATCAATCAATTGATCTTGAGGGATGTTTTGAGTCATGCCATTAGGTCAAAATGATTCAATTGAATACTTGATATCATGTTTCCAACCAATCAACCATTTGCTAGGCCAAAAATCAGAAATTGCCCTTTCTCAATCAAAACCCTAATTTTGACCATTTTGCCCTTTTGATGATCTGACCAAATTTCTTGAGGAATTGTGGTCCAAACTTGATCAAATGACATATATGAGTTCACAATGTTGATATGGATCAATAATTATGAAGTTTTACTGTGAATTAGCCACAATTGACTTTTTCCCCAATACAGCTGATTTTTAGGTCAACTGATCAATTGACTGAGCAAAAATGTGATCCAAGACTTGAAACTTGACATGAGCAATCTTGAGGGACCATAATGATCCATGAAAGTCATATGAGACATTAAAAATTCAATTATCCTTGTGCAATCTCAAACCCTAATTTCTAGTCATTAGTGCTTAAGGAGGTGTCTTGAGCTGATCAACCCTTGTGCAGTCTTGAACCAAAGGATATCTTATGAGAAAATACTTGATAAATGAGAGGGAAAATTTTAGGGTACAACAGTTCTCAATTATGATTGATATGAGGTAATGGTAGACTTTGGGTTTTAGATTCCTTGATTTGGTGTTGAATTGCATGGATTTTCATGAAATTGGTGAAATCTTGATGATGAGTTGCATACATATGTTATGTTATGAAAAGCTTGATGATGTTGTTGTTGTGGGTTGAATTATTTTTGACCTGTTTTATGAATTATATTGATTGATGTGAATTAGAATGATAGATTCATGATATTATGCCATTTATCGATGTTTAATGATTGTGACATTAAGTGTGTTAATGGTGATTTAGAGATGACGAATTAATATTGTGATGTATTTATTATCATTGATTCATGTTCCATATGATATGATAAGTTTTTGGATTGTTAGAGGTCAAAACTTGCAGTTTAGAGTATGTTGAATGGCTGAAAAATAAAAGGGATCGCACAAAATTGCATGGAAAAATGGTTTTTTTGGGCTCTATTACAACCTATAATAGCTATTATGGGCGACCGTAACAGCTCTCTGGATTCTGGTACCATAGGCATGCGAAAAATGAAATTATGGGCTAGGAGTATTACGGGTGGCCATAACAGCTCCATGGATTTTGTACTATGAAATCGTTTTGGCCATAACTTTGGCTTCATAAGTCTGTATCGAGTATCGTTCGAAGTGTTGGGACGCTAACACGAATTACTATCAAATGAAATTGTTTTTAGAGGCTGATCATGAAAATTAGTCGATGCTTTTGATATTTGAAAGAAATTTTGAACTTGAAACTTGCTTATCTTTTGACGATTTTTGTCGTAACTTTTTAACCGTGTATCTAAACGACCTGCCGTTTGAAGTGTTAGAAAGCTAAACCAGAGTGATAATGTGATAGAGATAGGTGAATTGTTTGAGTATTATTTATATGTCTATTATATTTGTAAAGTTGGATGTTTATATGTTCTATTAATGAATTATTGCATCGTTGTGATAATGTTATGTTATGATGACGTGTTATGACGATGAAGTTTGTTGTTGTTATGATGTTGATGTGAAGATGTTGTTGCTGTATGTTTTAAATCATGCATTAATTTTATCGAGACTTTGGTTCTAATTATGTTGTGGTCTCGATTCTATGGTAGTGGTTCGAGTGCGAGTAGTTAATTCATATATCGAGGAATTAGTAAAGTGTTGGTGATGATATGATGGTTATTGTACTCTGGTTCAAGAGTGAACTAGATCTTATGGTGGTGGATCATGTATCTTATGGTGGTGAAATAAGGAGTGAAATGGACTTATGTTTATAACTTGGTACCACATGCATTGAGTCAGTGTTATTTGCATAGTATTTTATGTGGCATTGTATAATTTTGTTGGTGCCATATGGTGTGTTGATCCTTGATAAGTTATGTGACTATATGTTGATCCTTGTGATCGAAGTTGTATGAGTGATATTTATGATATTTGGAGTGTGAGTTTATGATATGTTGACATTGTTAATTGGTTGTATATTGATGTTGCAATCTATCTTCTCTTGTGTATCTTATAATTGATTATGATTACTCATCTCTTCTATTTGAATGTTGCCTCTACGTGGGTAATATGCAGATACTCAGAGTAGGTCCTGTAGACATAAGAGGAAGTTAGCCACTGGAGTTTATTTATAATTTATCGTCTTATGTAGTAGAATTATGCTCTAATTCATGTAACATCGGGTTGGGGTTGGCGTTTCATTTTCCTGAACTATTATGTTGTTTATTTTAGAAGCAAATGCTAATGAAGTTTTTGAGATATGTTAAGATGTTTTGAGATGAGTGTTGACTACACTTTTGTCAATGTTATCAAATGTTGGAGTTTAAAACTCAAAGTATGTTGTTGTTTTACATTTAAATTTCTTTATGATGAATCTGTTGCAGTGTCTTCAAATGAGTATTTGATGTCGTGTAAATATCATGAATGTGTACGTTTGAAAAGTTAAATACTTTGTTGTAACCTGTATTACGGAGCAGGATATGTATGTTGTTTTTATGAAGTGTGACACTTATGTGTTGTGTTTTAATTAATTAATTCGTAAATTATACGTGGTGTTTAAAAGGGTGTTACTGGGTCCATGCTTAAAAATAATTCAGGTGAAAATCAGTAAGAGTGTAGTACAAGTATGATGAAATTAATAATTGACATGTAAGTAAATTACCTGAAATAGACAATTGTTTCTTGTCATTTATCACGTCTTCCAATGACTAGTTTCATCTAACATAAATTACAAGTAAACCAAACAAGATACACCTAGTTATACTCTTGAATCATGTCCAAGTCAAAGAAGTATTTAAGGCCGACAACATCTATATATGTCACACTTTTGTCCACGAAAATGAAGTGTCAACCAAAACCAAAAAATATGTCTTTAATGCACATTATCTATGATAGGTAACTTGTGCAACATCATCATCATTTTTTCATCAACATCCAAATGTCAGTATAATTTTTCTTCATAAATGAAAAATCTAGCATGGGCATCCCTCCGATCAATTCCTAATTTTGTCACCATTAGCTCCAATGCGTTAGGTCTCTAAATTGAAGAGTGATCCAGTAAATTTCATGTGATCGTAGGATGGAGGATGCACGATACATCATCAAGAGCAATAACCATCTCACCAATAAAAAGATGAAATGATGACGTCTCTACGTGTCATCTCTCAACAAATGTCGACGGAAGACCATGGAAGCATGGTCCATATAGCTGCAACAATTTTGGTATATACCTATTATGATTTATACACTTCAGTGTGTCACAGTACTACAACAAAAATACATCAACACCAAATAATTCAATTAGTATAAAATAAATATTTAAAAGTGTATCTAAATTTTTATGTTACCTCTTCTAACGGTAGATTTGTATATCAAAAGAGAAGTGACATGTCACCTGAGCCTCTAGAAAAACCAGCATGCGCAGTAGTAGTAGTAATATATATGGCTTAAGGATATGGAGCATGCACATATACAACATCATCACAAATATATACGAAAGTTGCAGGTGCATTCTCCCTACACACTAAAACATGTTGAGACACACAAGCATTTTCCCAACTGTGACCTAGGTTGTCCGACACAAACCCATGTTTACCACCCGATCCATGTCATCAACACGTGGCAGGGAATGTGCTCAAAAGAAGTCAGCTAAAACATAGCATAAGAGGAGAAAGAAGCAATCTCCCCCTACTTTCACAAATTCGTAGGAAAAGTAAGAAGTTGTTTCTTCCCACTATTCATCCTAGGAAAACTCCCATATATGTTTTTGCCCCAAGGTTTGGAAATATCATTCACTAAATGCACAAAATATCTTGTAATCAAATACGTGAACAAGCTCAGAGGTACATGTGCATCCTTGTGTGGAGTATATGGAGGTCTAGAAACTTGCATGAAATTATTGAAGACCATGTTTCTATTACAAATGTAGTTTGTCTTCTATAAGTTAGAGGCAGCTCACTGCACAATCAGATAACACATCCGATCAGCCAAGCCTCCAAGGGATATGTTAAATGTAGTAATCTGTATTTTTTGCCATGTCATAACTCATAAGAATCACAATGAATACATAATGGGTTTGGACACATTGTGAGAGCCATAGTATTAAGATATTGTAATGACACCAAAGTTGACTTGTCAAAATTTGGATCCATATCAATTTTAATGACTATACTCCAAAAATAAAAATTCATCATCTCATATCTAGATAATTCAGTTACTTAATTATGGCATATTTAATTGATTAACCGATCTTTCAAAAAGATTCACAGTCCAACTATTCCATTCATGATTGCACTTCAAACACAATAAGTATCCAATGACACAAAGTTGACAAGACCATGCAACTAACTAGGCCAGCCTCCTTAATTAATCATGACAACAATATTAATCCATATTCAACTTTATTAAAACTCACTAACCAAGAGTTGCTGTGTTTAATCAATAAGCTGATTTTGATGTTCAAAATCTCACATTCAATAAGATGCAACTTCATATGTTCACACTTGAGTATATCTAAAATCTGTTAAACCATTACTATCAGCTTATCTCAATCAAACCCTTGGAATCAATCACACTTCAAATATATTATTTAAATGCATCAAAACAATGAGCATGAACTTTCCTACAATTATGGATCAAAATAATCTGTTACTACTACTACTACTACTACATGAAATAATAATCCTCACTGAAAATCATATATATACAGCTGAAAATACAAAGGAAAACAAACAAAACCAATTAACATACATAGTCAAACACTCTATAATTTTCACTGCCTCCTTAACTGTTACTTGTATCTTCCCAAATTTCCTGTCCTCAAATGTCAGTCATCACTCACTGAGTCACTGTCCATGTATATATCTCAGTTTATTGCAAGCAACTTACTATTCACAAAGTTTAATAATGTTTACATGAAAATCTTACCCTATTCCTGCAAAAGTAAAATCATAATCACCTTTTTGACCAAAGAATTATATATATTTAACAAGTGGAAGATGGAAATACAACTTACCATTTATTGTTTTTTTAACTTAAACTTGGGGAGGGGACTCGGGTTCGGAACTGCAACTATATGACATTGTATCTTCCTTAGGTATTGCCACAAAGTTGAGAGGCACGGTAGACAATCTTCTCATTTCGTTGAAGTATCCGTTATGACGACCGGAGTAGGAACGTGGTGTGTGTAGTTCAGATGTTGTACCACTCACTGAGTTCCGACGAGGTGTGGGAGGCATAGACACATTGCCATTTCCGTTGCCGTTGCCATAGCCGTTTCCATTTGCACGATGCCCATTTGTCTTTCTAAAGCTGTTAGTTTTTCTTGGACTAGGTTTAGATCCATATATGGCTTCCTTTTGATTTTGAAGTAGATCTTGCATCTTCTTTTGGTCCTTTGAGATCGAAAACAAAAACCTTGTCATTTAGTTTAGACCAACACATTAACAAACAACAAATTCTTATTTATTATAGGAAAATATGGACAAAAAGGTAAATTTACCTTCTGTCGTCTCTTCACTTCTTCTCTCTGTTGCCTGGTCAGTTTATAATCGTCCAGTAATTCCACCAACCGTACCTGTGGATGATATAGACGATCAAAACAAACTTTCGGATAAAAAATAACATGTTAAGACAATGAAAACCAGAAATAACAATACACCACTTCAAAGCTTACCCCGTCATACAGAAAACAAGTCTTCTTTTCATCTTCCCATGCTAATGTTTTGCTTATAAGATTGTCAACCATTGCTGAAAGGAAAGAGAATACACTGTCATCATAGGTCTGCATTGAATTGTCAACGACAAAAAGGCATTCATGAAAGCAATACCTGGAATTTTGGTTACAGTTACTCTAGCTCGTTCGGCACGCTTCAGATTAATATGAGCACCTCGCCCAGCACTGTACCGATTATCATCCTGAAATTACACGTATTACGTCAGAGAACAACTAAAGAATTGATGTACGCTATGAAGGTAGACAACAGAGAATTTCTGACTTACCTGGCTATATTCGTCGAGCCAATTTTCCTCTTCACAAGCAAAAAGCCACTTATCAATCCTATCTGTTACATCTCTTCTGCTCAAAGCTTCATCTTTAGCTTTCACTATCTGTGCTTCAATGTTAGCTAATAATTCACAAGGATCAACCAGGCCTGTGTAAACAACAGCAAGGTTCAATAGAGTCAGATTTTTCCACATCAGTGATTTTTTCTGTGTAAAAAAATCTGTAGGGAACGGACCAGAATCTATTAATGCGCTAGCTTTCTCTGCAGCAGTACTTGTATCAGGTTCAATATGAGTCAATCTACATATTTCTTCTAACTCTGACCTCTTCTTAAAAACAAGTTCTTTCATTCTACTCGCTTTTAGTTTGGCAAGTTTTTCCACTTCTGCCGAAGCCTGAAAAAAGGGCTTTTCATTTAATTCCGCAAATAAACGAAAGAAAAAATAGTGAAAGAAATGAAAGAAGCTTTTAAACCTTCTCTATCACGTTGGTTGAAAGACCACCTCGTTCAGTGATTTCTGATGGTGAAGTTGCTGCAATAGAAGTAATCCTCAGAAAAGTGTTCCTCTCTTCTTTTGAAGTATCCATCAAATTCCAAAGTTCGAATAGGTTAGCAACAATATCCTTCAACTGCATTTTCAAAAAGTACACTTTATGTCAGGTTAAAGAGACGGGGAAGTTACAACAAACAAAGAGATTGCTAAAATCACCTTCTGTATTCTGACTTTTCTTTCGGTTTTTAACTTGAGAATGGTCTTCTCTAAACCTTCCAATGTGCTATTGCTAATATTGGTCGATTGCTCCACCTGAGTCCCGTGCAAGCTTGGATGTACATCTTCTACCGTTTGGCCGAAATCCAATCCAAGAACACCACATAGAGAATGCACCTCGTTAACACATTGCAAGACTTTCTGAAGTCGATCCGACTGGGAGAAGGAAAAAAACATAAAAAGTCCACAAATGAGTTATAAAAGGAGAATTAAGGTTACAAAAGCGACAGTTAAAAAGGAACGAATGGAGTAATAAGTTACAAAGATGAAACTTTTATACCATAACATAATACAAACCTTTTCTTTTTGAAGACCACGGAGATGTGTTTGATATTCATTAAGTCTTCTAAGCGATAAGTCTTGTTCATCTTTATCATCTGTGCTGCTCACATCATCATTGACAGGATGAATTCCGCAAATCTCGCCGCTTATCTTCTCTATTTGAGTTTTAATATCTGCAAATAGTTTCAACCTTTCTTCTTTTTTCTTCTTCAATTCTTCAACCAATGGTGTGACAGATGCGAGTTTCTCCTTCAAGGATGCCGATCTTTTATCCGTCTTAATCTATAAATGCATAGACAAATAAATCAGAAAGTCAGCATACAATCATTCCTTGGCCATCTTCAATCCTAGAACAATTCTACTTTTTGACTTGCAATTCCTGATATGCTCGCATAACCTTTATTTTCAAGTATTGAACACGAGTAAATCGTTTAATTTTTTTACCGGAGAGTGAATGTCATGTTCACCAAGTGCAGCCATTAGCGTAGCAATCTCGGCTTCCTTGGCCGCAACGGATTGATGAAAACGTGCTTTTGTGTTGGCAGCCTCATCAACTTTTCTCCTATAAACATCTAAACATTCCCTCTCTAGCTCCATCAACATTCGATCTTTATCCTTCTCTGTCTCTCCAATATCGTTCCATATTTGCTGCACACAAAAATGAAGTTTGTCAACCCAAGTTAAGAAAAAGCTAAACAAGACTAAAATCATCTGCAACCAATATCAAAGACCAAGTCACCCTAAAATCCCATATTAGCACTGAACTAGTAACTTCCAAAACATGTTAACAAAACCATTCTAGTTAAAAAGTTAAAACTTTGCAGTAACCCAATTTCTGAAAATCAACCAACCACTTGAAAACTTAAAGTAAAAACAAAAAGCTTTAAAAAAATGACTTTTTCAACTCAGGGTAATCTCATGAACAAAGACAAACCCTCTATTAAAATTAACCTACAGAGACCCTATAAGTGCTTTTTCCTTTTACACAGTAAAACAGACAAAAAAAAAAAGTTGACCAAAGAAGAAACTAAACATAAACATAATTGGTTAGAGAATAACACAGAAGAAGACTAAAGAGTTAGTATCATAACCAAATCATTAACAAAAACCAAATTTTTCATCAACAACAACAACAATAAGACTAGACAAAAGTTATCCAAACAAGTTGAATTCTGAAAAAGTGAAAGAGAAAAAAACCTCAAGTTCTCTGAGCAAAGAAGTGCAAGTAGTGCTTATATGGATACTAGTAATAGGACTTCCAATGGCCAACATTCTTCACAGAATTTCAAACTACACTCACTAGTAGTGATAACAAAACTCCAAAGAACCAAATTTCAAGAGAAAAAAAAAAAAACAACCCTTTAAGAGATAAACAAAACAAGAAAGCAAGAAACTTTCATGATAAATAACAAGAAACACAAGGTGTTTCCATTTTTTCAAACAAAACAAACTCTAACAGATCTAAAGATAAAAGCTTTGGTTAAAGGGTCACACTCTTTCTCTTGAAGAAACTGTTTTTGTGACAAGAAAGCTGAAAAAAAGATCTGTAAAGAGAGGGAAGAACTAGAAAGATGTAGAGAGAGAGAAATGAGAAAAGGTTTTGTTTTTCAGAGAGAGAAAATGATTGTTATGATTATTGGTTTGTTGGAGCTTGGAAAAGGAGAAAGAAAAGAAAAAAAGAAAAGGGTTAAGCAAAAGCAAAGGGATAATGGAATTTTAGGGTTTGGTTGGTGGTTGTAAAAGATGCTAGAATGTAAGAAAATGTGGAGAAGGAAAATGGAGAAGGAGGTAAAGAGAATGGATTATGGATCTGTGTATTGTATTTTCTATTTCTATACTACTCTGTAGTGTGAGTGTATGTGTATGTGTATGTGTATGCTAGCTGTGAAAGTACACATTTGACAATGATTTGTAGTGGGTAGAGTAAACAATTGTAACATGGATTGTGTTATTTTATTACCTCTCTTTAAATGTGAATTTCTTTAAAATGTAGCTTTAAATTTTAATATAAGATTTATTTTAAATTTTAAATTGTTATTACTTTATTTTGATAGAAGGAAAAGGAGTTCTTGTATCACATCACTGATGCAATTTCATTGTTTGCTTCTAGCATCACTACTTCTTTGAATTTAAGCATGTATCCACACAAAAATATTTTGATGTTAAAGTTATGAAGTGTGTTAGCAAACTAGTTGGTACGTTGTGGTTGGTAGTTTAGAATTGATAATTAATAGTTGATAACTTAATATAAGTGTTTGATAAATTAATAATTTTATTAGTTGATAGATATAAAATGATATAAAAAATTATTTTAATTAATAATAAGGATAATAATATAGTATTTTGTTAAAATAATAAATATATAAACGGAAGAAAAAATCACAAGTTAAAAGTTACAAATTTAAAAACTACTTCAAATAGTTTTTTAAAAAAAAAGATAAAAGCTAGTAAAAAAATTGTAGAATAAAAGTTAAAATCGAGTTATTGAACAGAGTATTTTCATTAATGTGAATTGAAAAGGTAAAAACTAAAAAAAAAATTGAGTCTTTTCAAACAAACTCTTAGTAGTCCGTACTAATTAAATATATTAATATATTGATAAAGAATGGAAAAATAGATTCGATTTATGATAATAATTATTTTATTCGTATTTTTTGGATGATTAAAATTTTAGACTTTATTATTTAATATGTTTGATTCTTAATTTTTTTTAATAATCATTTTTTTAAAAAAATTAAATAATCACCATTTCAAATTCAAGAATGCTATTTTTACACCTCATTTGTACATTAATACTTACACCAAAATTGTTTATCATATTTATATGGTGAATATTATTTTTTTAATAAAAAAGTATATTT